ATGCGAACGAATCAGCACGTGACACGTGTCCAGATCTAATAGCTTAAAAAAACGCAATGGCATTTTTGTAAATAATTGAACATCGAAGTGCAAGTAAAATCACTTACAAGTGAACCTATTTTCACCTATAAGTACATGTAATTTTGTCTTGTTAACATTCACTTCCCGCAAACATTAATACACATGGGTACACCTACTTATAACTATAGGTGCAACTATTTATAACTAGGTGCAACTACTTATAACTATAGGTGCACCTATTTTCACCTATAAGTGCATGTAATTTTGTCTTGTTAACATTCATTGGTCTGAGTTCAGCGGGTAGTAATACCCTTGAAAACCACCTGTAAACATTCATGCACCTAGGTGCAACTACTTATAACTATCTGTGCAACTACTTAGAACTATAGGTGCAACTACTTATAACTATAGGTGCACTTAGTATTGATGCTCAGTGTAAATTTTTAATTGCACCTATAATACATTTTACATCCACTTGTAATATATTTTATATGCACTTCGATGTTCAATTATTTACGAAAATGTCACCGCATTTTTTTAAAAAAAATTAGTGTTTCTCATCCATTAGATCTGGACACGTGGGTGGACAGAATCCAATCCTACTTCGCACCAGGCGCGAAATAGGAATGAATTCTGTCCACCCACGTGTCCAGATCTAATGGATGAGAAACACTGATTTTTTTTTTAAAATGCGGTGGCATTTTCGTAAATAATTGAACATCGAAGTGCATGTAAAATATATTACAAGTGCATGTAAAATGTATTATAGGTGCAAGTAAAAATTTACACTGAGCATCAATACTTAGTTGCACCTATAGTTCTAAGTAGTTGCACCAATAGTTCTAAGTAGTTGCACAAATAGTTATAAGTAGTTGCACCTAGGTGTATGAATGTTTGCGAGTGGTTTTCAGGGGTATTACTACCCGCTGAACTCAGACCAATGCATGTTAACAAGGCAAACTTACATGCACTTATAGGTGAAAGTAGGTGCACCTATAGTTATAAGTAGTTGCACCTATAGTTATAAATAGTTGCACAGATAGTTATAAGCACACCCAGGTGCATGAATGTTTGCGGAAAGTGAATGCTAACAAGGCAAAATTACATGCACTAATAGGTGAAAGTAGGTGCACTTGTAAGTGATTTTACTTGCACTTCGATGTTCAATTATTTACGAAAATGCCACCGCATTTTTTTTTAAGTTATTAGATCTGGACACGTGTCGCGTGCTGATTCGTTTGCATTTCCCTCCTGAGCACTTATTCGCACCTGAGTGCATCCCTATATATATATATATATATATATATATATATATATATATATATATATATATATTTGTGTGTATATATATATATATTTCGGATATATATCCAATAATATTTTATATATTTTTGTATGTATATATATAAATACTATTTTAAAATATTAAATCGATTTTGGTTCATTATCACCAACATACAATAACAATATTCCTTTTTCTTTTAAGGAATATAGCTAATAGCTTTAGCAGCTGTGAATGGTTGTGCTTAGACAACATGGGAGATGAGTCAGCCACATGACGATTCCCACAAACAATAATTGAGCAGAAATCGTATACCTAGCCGAAAACATGATTTTCGTTTTTTTTTTTTTATAAGTTTTAGTTTTGAGTACAAAACTCAACTAGAATCAGTCTTGCGGACGTTTAATCAGGATCTTTAACGACATCAAAGAATCTTCAAGTTCCTCCAAAGAATTCAGTTTCAAATTTGTAAAACAGTATGCGAATCAAGTTTTTCCTAGCATTGTTAGGGAAGTTGTTTCTATGTCTGACTGTAAATATTGTTTTATCATTCGATCCATCCTTATTATAAACGCTTCAGCCTATGATTAATGAATTAACTTCTTTATTTTCAAAAAAAAAAAAAAAAATACGGAGTACATTTTTAGTCAAATTTTAAGTTTATTCATAGCTTCTGTTATTATAAAACGTCTAATTTTTACAAAATTGAGAAATCAAATTTTAGGCTATAATTTTTAAAGTCACACATTTTACATATTTAAAATAAATAATGTTGAATAATAAAATATAAGCGGAAGAGTATACATTTTCATATTAAAAGTTCTTAACTTCTAACACAAATTACTAATACAACTGGCCAACTGCTATGTGTGTGTGGGGGGTGACTTTTGTAGTAGTGTGGCATTTTGAAATTTAGGAAAGTTCTATAACAATATTTTTTTAAAGAGTATGTAATATCAAAATTAAAGTATAGCTCTTTCACCCATTTTGTATACATAATATACTTAATATTTATTATAGTTTTTAGATAAAATGACACCATTTTTATTCCCTTAGTTGTGGTTGTGGTATACATTTATTCTCTTACTTTTCATAAAATAGATTTATTCGTTATTTTATTTTTAGAAAATCGCAGAAATTTAGTCCATTTTAATTTACTAATATTATTATATTTATAATTTTATATAGGGAAAATGACATTTTTAATCTTTGAATTGTTTCACTTTAAGAAATTTAATCCATTTTAATTGATTTAAATATATTTAGTCCATTAATTGTTGAGTGCTTGTAATGTTATATAATTATCAAACTCTGTTAGTGATTTTTTTATAAGCTTATTTTTATCATTTAAAATCAATATCTATTGTTAACGTTTCATTTTCTCAATGTAATGTTATTTTTAACAATCAATATCTATGGTTAACAATGTTATTTTCAAAAAGCTGCTCAAAGTAGTTTTTTTCAAACAACATTTTGAGAAAGTCATTTGCATGTAATCACGTATCAACTAAATAACCAAACATCTTTCTGCAATTCGTTAATGCTATCAACTAGTCAAACTTACTAACTCAATTAACTAACAATTATCGGCTAACAACATTTACCAAACATCCCCTATACCTTAACGGGTTGTTTGGTTGGATGTATAGTAGTTGCAATTCAATTACAATATAATTCTTTGGCCTCCCGAATTACATTGTTTGATTAGAGGGAATTATAATTCTCTCATTTTGTTGAATTGCAATTCATACCCTTTACCATATGAATTGCAATTCAATGGTGAAAGGAAATGGGAAAAAGGAAGAAAAAGACTTTTTTTACTCTTAATTATTATTAATTTTATTATTACACAATGATATTTTAGTCTTTATACCACTTTTTTTCCTTCTCATACCCAATAATTCAATTCTTTTCTACCAAACATTGTAATTTGAATTTCTACTTTATTCTCATCTTTTTTTTCCACTAAATTATACTCCCTCCGTCCCAAATTGGTTGTCTCATTTGCTTTTTGCACGCTTTTTAATGAATTAAAGTAAATGCTATGTATTTTCCAATTATGCCCTTCACTTTTTCACTTTTGGAAATAAAAGCAAAAGTCATAAGGGTAATTTGGGAAAAAGTAGAATGATGGTGATGTTCAATTTTGGAAAGAGGACAACATTTTGGGACAAACTAAAAAGGAAAGTAAGACATGCAAAATGGGACAGAGGGAGTAATTCATTTCCTTCCCATCAAACTCCTGCAATAGTAGAGAAAATGTAACAAAAAGAGTAAAAGCATTAAGCACATGTCAATATACCACAATAATTAATTAAATAATGGGAAGGTAGGATGCGTGAAAATGTTATAGCAGATGAAGTGAAAGAGACGGGTCGGGGCGTGTGCCCCGTGGAATTACCCGGTCACGTGCTGGGCATCAAAGCTGTCTGTGGTTGCCAGCCCAGACCTGCATACGTGTCGCCCACGCACTGGTGCCGCTTCAGCTTTTTAAATTTAACTACGGATATTATGGCCCCGCAAATCCTTGTACCGGCCCCACATTTTCGACCATTTGATGTTTTCCACGTTTTTTGTTTTCAACACCGGCCCCTCAAAGTTTCCGAAATTGTAATTCGCCTCCCTCGAAATCTTCGAAATTGCGTTGGGAGTTCTGCGGAACTTGGGAGTACGGATAAGAAGGACACCTGTCGAGTAGAAAGGTATGATTGAAGTTGGGATAAGAACCATGCGTCACTGGTGTTAACATGTGGCCCATTGGCCCCCACTCATGTCTTTAATACATTTGGATTGTACAAATTTATTTATTTTTTACAGATTTTATTGGCTCTCAATGGTCAATAATAAAGTTATAAGATATTTATAAAAATAAAATGTTTTATTCCCCTAAATATCACCTCCATTATTTTACTTGATGTGATTTCCATTCATTGGTTGTCCATGAATTGATAATTCACCACTAATTAAAATTAACATTTAATTACCAATTAGATGTTGTCATGTCATAAAAATTAAATTAGAAATATTGGTCCAACTATTTATATAGTTAATGAGATGAGTTTGTTATAGGTAGTTAGTTTCTTCAGCTAAAGTCTTGTACTGCTCCACCTATTATGGTGCTTAGTATAGCTATATAAACCCGTGTAATCTCTCTAGCTTCATTCATCATAAATTATATTACTTCACTTGGTATCAGCCTACTTTCGGTCCTATGGCCTCTAACAACTCAACTCTTCCCGCTAATGCCACCACGGAGGTTGCCCCGTCCACTGACGAGGTCGCGCCTTCCGCCCAACGGCCGCCGAATACACTCCAACAGGCACACCATTATGTGTCCATCAAGCTGACAGCCACGAACTACTTGTTCTGGAGAGCGCAGCTCGTGCCGTTTTTGCGAGGACAGAACCTTTACGGGTTCGTAGACGGGACTCACGCATGTCCCCTAGAGTTCTTGGCCGCCTCCACGTCGTCGACGTCCCCAATGGTGAATCTGCTTCATGCCGCCTGGACACAACAAGATCAATCGATCTTAAGTATGTTGTTTTCTTCTTTCTCCGAAGAAGTGTTGTACCTGGCGATCGGTCATACCACCTCCAGAGGCGTCTAGGTTGCGGCGGAGACGGCCCTGGGCTCCACTTCACGGTCTCGTACACTGAGTTTGCTCACTCAGTTACAGAGTCTTCAACAAGGAGATTCCATGCCTTCTGCATACCTGGGTCGTGCGCAGGTACTGGTCGAACAGCTTGCGCAGGCTGGCCGTCCAATAGGGCTTGATGAGCAGAATCTACACATATTCAGAGGACTTCGGCCGGAATATCGGTCACTGGTGGCGTCTCTTACGACCAAAGCTGCTCCGTTGTCTATTCCCAAAGTGGCGAATCTCCTCAACACTCATTGCTACTTATTTCCAGAAGAAGCCATCCCGCCGCCGGTCGTAGCCATGGTTGCACACCAGTCGCCGTCGAACTACAGAGGTCCCTCCGATGGCGGTCGTGGGCGTGGACGGAACCATCGCGGCCAGCGTGGTAGAGGGCAGCGCGGTCGTGGCGGCATTCGGTGTCAGATTTGTGACATTCCCGGCCACACCGCTCTCACTTGCTACTGGAGATTTGAAGACTTCGACGGCCAGCGACCCACCCCTGCGCAACCAGCTGTCCATCACATGCGTCAACCTCAGGCACATGTTGTTTATCAACCGCAACAGAATGATCTCACCTCCGCCCCCTTCTCTAATGTATGGTTGCCGGACAACGGGGCCAATGCTCACGCCACTCCGAACGCCGATGGCTTAAGCGGTGTCGAGTCATACTTGGGTGGTGAGTCGCTACACGCCTACACGTCGGGGATGGAACATGTTTGATCATTCGAAATACTGGTTCTGTTTCATTTAATTCAAAGTCTCGGTCTCTGTTTCTAAATGAAGTGTTGCATGTTCCTCAATTACGTGCATCTCTTCTTTCTGTACAAAAATTTACTCAAGATAATGACGTCTTTTTTGAGTTTCACCCTACTTACTTTGTTGTGAAGGACCGTACCACTCAGCAAATTCTTCTTAGGGGTCCTACCACGAGGGGGATGTACTCGTTGAATCTATCCAAACCAGCTGCATTCCTGTCCGCAAAAGCGTCTCCAGATATATGGCATAAACGTCTTGGGCACCCACACTCTCGTGTGTTAAAACAAGTCTTATCTTCTTGTCCAGTTGTAGGGTCATTTCATTCACTGAATAAATTATGTACTGCGTGTCAGATGGGCAAGTCTGCGCGCTTCCCATTGTCACGACTAGAAAAATCGAGTTCTAAAATTCTAGATTTAATCTTTTCAGACATTTGGGGTCCTTCACTAGTTCCGTCTGTTGATGGGCATAAGTATTTTGTGTTCTTCGTGGATGACTTTTCCAGGTTTATGTGGCTTTATCCTATGAAACTTAAGTCAGATATTTATTCATTGTTTGCTAGGTTTCGGGCGTTGGTGGAAAACCAATTCTCCACCAAGATTAAGTGTATTCAATCAGACATGGGGGCCGAGTATCTCAAATTAAGTACGGCTTTTGCCGCCGCAGGTATACAACACAGAAAATCATGCCCACATACACATGAACAAAATGGCCGTGTGGAGCGCCGAAATTGGCATGTGGTCGAAACATGCCTTACACTGTTGGCACGTAGTCATGTTCCCCAAAAGTACTGGTCGTATGCCTTTGAGTCAGCCGTGTTTCTTATAAACCCCATGCCTTCCACTGTTTCGGATGGTACGAGTCCATACTATAAAGTGTATAATCAACATCCTGCATATGCAATGTTAAGGGTGTTTGGGTGTCAGTGTTTTCCTAACCTACGTCCATACAACACCCACAAGATGGACTATCGTTCAATATCATGTGTCTTTCTTGGATACCCGGAGTCTTTTTGTGGATACAGGTGCTTGGATCGGGAGTCTGGCCGGATATACATTACACGGCATGTTCGGCTCAACGAAGCAGTGTTCCCTTTTGCTAAGCCACTGCCGCCGGCCTCCTCTAATGAAGCAGAAAGACAACCATGGGCATGTGCCCCTATCCAAATGCACACGTCACAACCAGCTAGTTCAACCGCTCGGCCTGAAGTCAGTACGGGTCATGCGCCCACTGGACAGCAGGTTCAGCCGCTCATTCCGACGTCATCTTCCACGGCGGGTGCGGCTTCATCTAGATTTCAGCCGTCCACCTCGTCCACGACGACGATTCGCCGCCGACGTCAACGCTAACAGCGCCCTATTGTTCGTACGCATGTTATGCGATTACGGACTACTACTGATGCTCAGCGACGAAAACCTACGGCCTTGATTGCATCAGTTGATGATGACGAACCCATGTGTCATTCTCAGGTGGTTCGCCTACCACAATGGCGTGACGCCATGGCCGTGGAATTTAATGCGGTGATTAACAACCCGGGATGAACATAATAGGGAGTAAATGGGTATTCGTATTAAGAGAAACTCTAATGGTTCTATTGAGCGCTACAAGGCTCGTTTGGTAGCCAAGGGTTTCAATCAAATTCCGGGACAGGACTATGTGGAAACATACAGTCCTGTAGTAAAACCGACAACAATCAGAATCTTACTTTCTTATGCAGTTTCAAATCGGTGGACAATGCGACAACTCGACGTCCATAACGCCTTTTTAAATGGCTACGTCACCGAGGATATTTACATGAAACAACCTCCCGGATTCGTCAATCCAAATTATCCAGGTCATGTTTGTAAACTGCAACAATCGTTGTATGGCTTGAAGCAAGCCCCGCGCGCCTGGTTCACTAGACTCCATGACTACTTGACTCAGATTGGTTTCCGACCGTCCAAGACGGACATCTCATTATTTATTTTTGATTTAGGCAATACTCGTGCTTACCTACTTGTGTATGTAGATGATATTCTCCTGATGGGGAATGATCCTGATATCCAAGGTGTTCTAATGAAGCTTTCAGATGTGTTCCGGATTCGTGATCTTGGCAAGCCAAGGTTTTTTCTTGGCATTGAAGCCGTTGATGTGCCGGATGGTCTAGTGCTCTCCCAGAAGCGATACATGACTGAGCTTCTACGGAAGGTCGGTATGGACTCGTGCAAGCCTCTGGCCACGCCCATTGCTGTGTCTACTCAGCTCACGACCTCGCCCCCACTTGATGATCCGACGCCGTATCGTCAGCTTGTTGGTTCACTTATGTACCTATTAATCACCCGTCCGGATCTGGCTTTTGCTGTCAACAGACTGTGTCAATTCATGCACATTCCGACGCTAGAACACTGGGCTGCGTTAAAAAGGCTCCTGCGGTATGTAAAGGGTACTCTAGATCTTGGCCTGCGTCTAGCCCCCTCGGCTACGCCGGTTCTACACGCCTTTTCAGACTCGGATTTGGCTGGCTGCTCTATTGACCGGCGTTCAACTGGGGGATACGCGGTGTTTCTGGGTCCCAATTTACTATCTTGGGTATCAATTTACTATCTTGGGTATCTAGGAAGCAACAGACGGTGGCGCGTTCCTCTACCGAAGCCGAATACAAGGCACTAGCTGACGTAGCTGCAGAGGTAACATGGATACAGTCTCTACTAGGTGAACTCGGGTTATTGCCCAAGACAGTGCCTGTGCTTTGGTGTGATAACTTAGGAGCAACCTACTTGTGCTCGAACCCGGTTTTCCACGCACGGACGAAGCACGTTGAAGTATACTACCATTTCGTTCGTGACAAGGTAGCTATCGGTGCACTCAAGGTTAACTTTGTCTCCACACACGACCAGCTCGCTGACATCTTCACTAAGCCATTATCCGCTGCTCGGTTCGATGAGTTACGTACTTACGTTGCAAGCTGGGCGTCGTTCCCTGTCCCCCGCCAGCTTGAGGGGGAGTATTGGTCCAGCTATTTATATAGTTAATGAGATGAGTTTGTTATAGGTAGTTAGTTTCTTCAGCTAAAGTCTTGTACTGCTCCACCTATTGTGGTGCTTAGTATAGCTATATAAACCTGTGTAATCTCTCTAGCTTCATTCATCATAAATTATATTACTTCACGGGAAAAAAAAATATGAAAAATATTTAGCATTATTATATTATGGAATAAGGTTCAAATTGGCCACTGAATGTAACCTGAAAATGCAATTAGACCACTGAACGATAAAAAGTGCAATTAGGCCACTGAACACTACAAATGTATGCAATTTCACCTGATAGCATGTTACCATCAATTTTAGCAGGTTACATGCTTACGTGGCAGCTGAGTTGGCATTTTTAATAATTTTTAAATAATTTTTAATAAAGTTCTTTTAAAAAAAATTATTTAAAACAAATTTAATTTTTTTATTTATTTTTTTTAAAAAATTATTATTAAAAGTTATTAAAAATTATTTAAAATGCCAACTCAGCTGCCACGTAAGTAGGTAACCTGCTAAAATTGATGGTAACATGCTATCCGGTGAAATTGCATACATTTGGAGTGTTCAATGGTCTAATTGCACGTTTTTGGGTGTTCAATGGTCTAATTGCATCTTTTTTTCGTTCAGTGGCCTAATTGCATTTTCAGGTTACGTTCAGTGGCTAAATTGAACCTTATTCCTTATATTATTATTTATAAAATCCTCGACTCAAGCATAGTCTTCAACATCCTCTCGAGGCAACACTATGGGCGAGGTCTCTCAGTAGCTACATTTGGCAAATTATATCATATACCAAATGTCAACTCTTATGTAGTGTGATGATATTTTTGTTACCATTCCAAATAGGTGATCAAAAGATTGAGTTTCGATGGTTAAAATTACAGATATTACCTTATAAAGAATCACGTTTCAAAAAATATATAATATACCGTACCATATACATACAAATAATATTGTAAATTAATAAAAGAAATTATATGCATCAAAATAATATAGTAGGTTCAAAAGAAATTCATGTATATAATATAATATTACAAATACATAAAAATTACATCAATTAATCAATTATTACTTTATATATATATATATATATATATATATAGAGAGAGAGAGAGAGAGAGAGTAAATACCACCTATGGTCCCTCGAGTTTGGTGGCATCGCCATCAATGGTCCTTAACTTCCGTAATTACCATCCGTCATCCTCCGAGTTGTAAAAAGTTACCTTCTAGCGTCTTTCCGTTACTTCCTCCCGTCTTAACCGTCAAAATGGAAGGTAATATTGTCATTTGACTTATACGAAAAGAGTTAATACCAGCCAAGGTCTCTCGAGTTTGGTGGTTTGGCCATCTTTAGTCCCAAACTTGGCCAAAAAATATTAAAGAAAGTTGGTGCTTTCTCAACTTCCAACTCGAACTCCCTCTTCTCCTATACAATATTAAAGAAAATTTACAAATGTATAAGGGTCGTTTACTTCATTTATCTGTTTTTCCATTTTCAGTTTTCCATTTCTCTATTTCTCCTGTTTTCTTTCTCCATTTTTCTAGTTTTCCTTCTCCATTTTTTCAATTTTCCATGTTTCCATTCCTCCAGATTTTTATTTCTCTAATTTTCTGATTTTATTAAATACACTCATCCTATATAGCATTTGCACATTTCTACAACAACAACAACAACAACAACAACAATAATAATAATAATAATAATTTAATAATAATAAGGAATAAGGGTCAAATAGGCCATCCAACCGCACACAATAATGCAATTAGGCCATTGAACTCAAAAAAGCAACAATTAGGTCCCTAAACTAACCCATTTCAAACAATTTGTCCAATTTACAGGTTTTCCCCTTTCTAACAGGTTACTCAATTTAAAATATATTTTAAAAATAATTTTTTTAAAAAAATTTAATCCAAATAAACTAAAATTATTTATTAAACAAAAACAAAAAAAAAAAA